CCCTTTCTCATTTTAGCCTTCCAAATTCCATCTTAGGCTATTAAATAATATTTTAAAAATATGTGTATTGAATAATTTGCATATTTTCTGGGCGTCACTTGAAAAAAAAATATATGACTTGAATAACCCACATGTCAATGAAATCCCTAAGCTAACTGAAATAATTTTTTATTTATTTTACTGTGAAATTTGATTGAGCTTTTCCTATGAATTGATAGACTGTATTTTCAAAAAAAGGATATTTAATATCTGTTTTAGTTCTCTATTCAAAGAAAGAACATTTCTAGAGTTATTTGGTCAAGTGAATCATTTCTGAATTGAGTCTGGATGACACAAAGAAAATAAAAACAGAAAGCAATCAAGATCAAACAAGAAACCCAAGACTACAAAAAGAAGATAGAATATCTAGCTAAATATATTGTAACATTTAAGGTGAAAAATGTTGCCTCCTTCAGTTGACTCAAATTACTTGTATATGAAAGATTACATATAAATTCCCATTGTTACAATGTAAACTAGGAATATGAGGTACACCACACTGTGAAGAATCAAGGAGAAACTATTTTTTTCAAGGAGTTTCAGAGCAATAATGTTAATCCTATATTGCCCCTGAGTTAGGAGGAAGGACAGTAGAAAGAACATTGCAGGGAGTGAAATACAAAGACATTGGAGCCCATCTGGCTCAATGTGAAGGACAAACCTGAAAGACATGATTCTCTCAGGAATAGTCAGCTTTAATCTTGAACATATATTCACAGGTTGTTCAAAGAATCATAATTAAGCAAAAATATGGTTGACACACATACATACTAACTTGGAAATATAACAAATACTGTCATCCCACCTTTTCTCACCTATTTAAAGAAAATAGCTTTCTTACCACATATAAAACTTATAATGACTGACTACATTTAAATTGCAAACTAGCAGTTAATCTTATTAACAGTGCTCTGCTACATCCACTTCAATGCAGTATTTAATTATCTAAAAGCTCTGCGTGTTGATATTTTCCCCAGAATAAACATTTGTATAACATTGTCTTTGAAAATTTGGCTATACTGTGAAAATGCTCAACTTGGTATTTGTTCTTTCCTATGCTTCTATGCTCCAAAGCAGGTGTCTTGTATATTATAACTGCATTTATATTACTAAAATAAGAATTAATAAAAAATATTTAAATATGTGAAGATATTCTGAAATTTTTATCTAGTTAAAATAGCTATCATAGAGGGGTCAGCAGGTGGTGTGGTAGTTAAAGTGCTAGACTCCCACATGTCCAACCATAGTTTGAGTCCTGACCCGGTGTCCTGAAAATCACACCAGGCACATGCGCATGCATGCCCAAATTCCAAGGGAAGAATGGAGGAAAAGGGATTGAAGAGTGACTATCTGTTCTGGAGAAAGATTTCTCATTTTTCCTCCCTCTGTCTCTCTCTGGCAAGTGTACATGTCCTCCAGCAAAATATTAAAAAAAAAAAATTCCATAGAAACTCATAGTATCTTGTAGATAATATAAGAATGTCTACAAACAGAAGTCTGCTCAATAAACAGTATGTTTTGGGCTACTCTCATGGCCTAGTGAGTGTTTAAGGGAGCTAAATCTCACATGATTGACTGCAAAGTTTGAATCCATGCCCCAGTGGCCTGAAAAACACAGGAGGAAGGTGAGTATGCATGCCTAGAATCCCGATAGGTTGGAGAAATGGAGGACAAGGGATTGCAGTGTGACCAGTCCTTAGTGAGGAGTGCTTTTTCCCTTTTTCTTTCTTTGTCTGTCTCTGCCAAGCACACACACTCTCTAGCCAATTAAAAAATAGATAACTAAATAAACACTATGTTCTAATTTAAACAGGAATG